TTTTCTCTGGTTGAATCTTCTCGTTTAATGCATCTTTGTAACTTTCAAAAAGTAGTGCATTCGCAGGTTATCCATGTTTTATTCTGGAAAATAAAAAAAGATCCATGGTTTCGAGTCCACGGACTAGAATAGCTCTTTGGTGGTTGTTTCCCGCTAGCCGTCAATTTTTCCCGTCAAAAATGGCCGCCGTTACAAATATAAAAAAGGAAAAGAACAAATTTGATTGATCAATTTTTTGAAATCCAGTTCGTAGAAAAATCTATCAATGAAAACAGAGAAATCGGTCTGCAATTGAAAGGTTGACTATGTCTGTCGGTAACTTATCATCTTTTCTCATTGGTTTGTACCATTTAGTGAGAAAATATATCGATACTCATTTTTTTCTTTTCTTTTAAGAATTTCTTTTTGATAGATGTTATCAGGGAGCTGTTCACATGTATTAAAATTTCTAATTGACATGCAGTTAAATCTTGTTGATACAAATGTTCATAATGTTGAATATTCATTTCATATTGTACCAATTCAACGTTCAGCATTCGACGTTTTAATTCTTGTATGATTTTGTTTCGTTTATTTACACATTGTTCTTGATCAATACCAGCTTTTATACAATCGAATGATTTTGGTAATTTGAGAGATAGAAATCGTTGTTCGAACATTGTTAAATCTTCGAAGAGTTTCAATTGTTTATTACGAATATTTGTTAAACGATTGATTGCTTCGAACTAGAGAATAAGAGAAATAGACTATACATATATAGAATGCTTGACAGAAATATTTTTTACTTATAAAAAATAAAGTGAATCTACTTGGCTTTAACAGTTCAATGACTTTAACCATGTGAAACTTTTTCTTTTCTTTTCTTCATCATCATTCCACGATTTTAATATGAGTAAATAAATAGAAATAAACAACGGCATGTTTAGGACTAAGGAAGTCATGACTTTTGGATAATGGTAAAAAATGTACAGTAATTACTACAATTAATGTTAAATATAGAGCGATGTAATACGTGCATAAAAATTCTGAAAAAATACTGAAAAGGTTCCGGAAATTGTATTAAAAGATGCACTCAATTCTAGCAAAATACATAGTTACCTTTTCGAGCGTTCTCCAGTATTGTAAGAGCCTGGTTGAGAAGAATTAACAGAAAGAGTACCATATCTGTCACTCAGACTAGAGAATATCCAGTCAAACTTTTTCAATGGGTTGAGTAACTGATGTAAGTTAGAAATTGATACAGAAAGTATCAGAGCAAATTCCATATGTTCATCCAAATGTTCATATAAGAAATATTGCATTCATTATGAAATTGCTCTATATTCTGTGAACTGTAAATTCTCGGATTTTGGGGATGTTTGGGGAAATCCCAAGCAGCCCAAAATGCCAGGATTCCTAAAAATGCCAACGACAATTGAGATCCCAACGACTGAATCAGAGAGAAATTGGGTGACAAGTGCAAAATTTCTCGGTGAATCCAACAGCGGATTCCTTTTAATTTCATTTGGATGTTCTAGAATTAACCGTCAACTGTGATGGAAGATCATTAAGCATTCTCAATGAGAGAAGCCAAATACAAGACGATATGAGAATGGACATTAACCAAGCGCCTTTTCCTTGGTGTCTTCTCGTCTTCCTTAATCAACAAGGTAATCGAGTGTGTCTTTTGTAACGGTGTCTTTTAATCTTTGATCATGCAATGAGAATACTGTCTCTGATTTCGGGTATATAACAACCAACTTTATTTCTGGCGATGTGTTTCTCCGTTTCCCAGAAACAAAAAAAAGATAAACTTATCCCACTCTTAATCGCGATTACCACAGGAACTAACACGGATATCAGTCTCGAACTATTTGTAGTGTTTAAAAGAGACTTTGCGAGTCAATCGCACCAAACTACGGCACTTTTACTACTTTGTTATCGACTGTTAATGGCAAAAGCGTGGTAATTCAGTGTACGGAAGCTTTCAAAAAAACCTTTTACCTATTGTTTTTATGCCATGGCTTCACTGTCAAAAAAAGTGTCTTTATAAACCACTTCGATGGCTTCAAAATGCGTCCACAATGCGTTTTGAAGGCACGTCTGGTGTATTTTCTCAGCTTTTTACTGTTGGTCGTCTTAATGTTTTCAAAAAAAAACACCTTTAAATCATCACTTTTAAAGCAATAGCTTAGGTCTTTTACATGGAAACATTTTCTTACTGATCAAAAATGAGGTTGCGTTTGAGGCACCAGAAGTGCATTTATTTAAAAAAACGCACCTCGTTTTTCACAGTGTTTCCACGATTATATTTTGGAAGAATTACGACATGCATTGAATAAAGATTATATGGCAGACAGATCCTAGTAAAAAACTTAGATACTTATTAAAATTATCTTACTGAGATGTTATCCTTTAAGATTTTGATAAGACAATCTAAGATCTTACAGTTCAAGATCTCAATAAGATTTAATGACTCTACTTTCATTCACCCTTTTGTTATACTTTCATTGATCTATATAAGTGACACCGAAAATACGAGTGAATTTACGGTTATTTTCTTTCAGACTCTGCTATTACTTGGAAGTGTTCAACAACTGTTTAGAGTGTCCATGCAGGTCCAGATCCATCGTTGGACAGCCGAAAATATGAAGTTTCTCTTCTTTCTTCAACATTGTTCAAATGCTGCTTTGGATAATGCGGATTAGAAATTAAAAAATTCTCTGTAAGGATCCTCCACTCGACTCTAGAAGATGGAGGTCTAGATGATAGCTTTCAAGTTCCGCATTATTAACGTATCCTATCTTGAAGATTTCACGCATACTCTATAACCCTTACGATTTTATTAAACAGTAGAACACGTTCGATATTTTAAACACTTTACTTATTGGTCCGATAGTGGAACAACGGTAAATATGATCGCAGGGCCATAATTATATCTATGAAACAGACAATATTGGCTATTACCATAATCAATGCAGTACTCAATACTGGCCTGCCAAGCAAAGAAACCATCTATGTTGTTTACACGGTAGGGACTACCACCCCACCGCTCATAGGGGGGTATTTCATTCATACCAAAATAGACAGCCAACCATTGTCCTTGCGTGATGTTAAGCCGAGCAAAGGGCAATCGAAAAGTTTGAATGCCCGTACAACCTTGAATTGTTGTCGGTTGAATTACATATGTGTCAACAATATCAAAATAAGATGAATGGTCGAGAGTGTTAGTGAGCACATAAAGTTTGATGAGACCCGTAACATTGCTGGGCGCTGTATAAAAGTTGATCCTTACATTCTGAACGTAGCCATCATGTTTAACTCCGTCACCATACGTGAACCATATTTGACCTTGAGAGTTTATGTCTATACCAGAACGGTTGTCCAATGTTCCGTAAGTGACTAACAAACATTTTTCTGAATCAACAACTCAACCGACAGAAAACGTGGGATGAATTACTCACCTGTGACAGGTGGTGAAACAGTTGTTACAGCAGGCAGTAGTGACCTAATTGTAAATTTGAATGTAGCACCTTGCGGAACCTTCGTTGCAAATCTTGCCGGATAAGTATTTGTTATATAAAAAGACAAGTTCGGACGATGAATCATGTACATATATCGAGAGACAGAATACGAAGTTCCAGCGTGAGGACCAAAACCAATTCCAACATACTGACCTTCATCGACCCACATTCCTGTTGAAGTAGGTATCGAAAATATCTGCGTTGTGGTGTTTGTGACTGTTTCTGGAGGTACTACGTACTGATGAAGAATCATGAACAGATCAATGTCCAATGTTCGCTCGATGACATGGACGAAGAGTTGACCCAGCTTTGGTACTGGTAGATCGAAGAAAGAAATCGTCACGGTCGTCAAGTAGCCAGCTACTGTCACCTCATCGACGCGGTTAAACACACTAAAGCCATTGGCAAAATTACTCGTAAAATGGAGCGGCTCAGTCGATCCGTATTCTTCGTCTAAACGTAAATCCATAAGCTCTCAAAATCAGCAATGAATGAATTTCACAGGCATGCAAAAGTTCAAAATTCTGTAAGTTTCAATAACCAGCAGCGAATTTTGCTCAGCTCCATAACCGAGAATTTTACGACAATAGATGCAGATAGGTAGATTGCATTCCAAACTTGAGTTTTGAGGGGGTCTCAAATTATTTTTTTCAAATGTGGGACAGAAAGTTCAGAATGAGGGACAAAATGGAGACGCTTATTTTAACGAAATAACGTCATGTCAATCTAAAATACCCGATGGACTCAATTAGTCCAAGGTCAAAACCCACCCTCTAGTGTGGAACCCTTTTTTAAAATATACTTCAAGCTAGAGATCTCGGGTTGGTTTTATTTTAAACTAGACACCTAACTGCGTGAGGTGCTGGGATTCGATTTTTGAATTAGGCTTTCCTTTTCTAGAAAATCAAGAATCTCTGGAAAATCCGTAAACGTTTTTCGGGTTTTTTTGAGAATCTTCGATCTCTAGAAAACTA